CCCCTGCCCTGTCGACACAGTGCCCTGCCGTTTGTCACTGCCGTGGGTAACGATTCTCAGTGGGCTGAGCTCTGCCCTCCTGAATGGCAGCAGCATATTCCTGTGCCCAGCAGCCAGACGTCACCCTAGCTGGTGGTGGGAAGGCAGCAGACCCCCCTCCAGCCGCTGTCTGCACCCGTGGAGGTCGAGATGCGAGCTCTCTGCTTGTTTGGTGGCTGACAAGCTGACCATGAGCCAGCAGCGTGCCCTGGTTGCCCAGAAGGCTGACGGTCTCCTGGGGTGCATTCAGAGGAGTGTGGGCAGCAGGGCGAGGGAGGTTCTCCTCCTCCTCTGCTCTGCCCTGAGGAGGCCCCATCTGCAGTGCTGTGTCCAGTTCTGGGCTCCCCAGTTCAAGAAAGATGAGGAGCTACTGGAGAGAGTCCAGCCTTCGAAATGCCTCTAAATATCTGCAGGGTGGGGGTCAGGAGGATGGGGCCAGACTCTTTCCAGTGGTGCCCAGCGACAGGACAAGGGGCAACGGGCACAAACTGAAGCAGAGGAAGTTCCGTCTGAACCCGAGGAAGAACTTCTTCCCTCTGAGGGTGACGGAGCCCTGGCCCAGGCTGCCCAGGGAGGCTGTGGAGTCTCCTTCTCTGGAGATATTCCAGCCCCGGCTGGACGCGGTGCTGTGCAGCCTGCTGTGGGTGACCCTGCTTGGGCAGGGGGTTGGGCTGGGTGACCCCAGAGGGCCCTGCCAACCCTGACCAGTCTGGGATTCTGTGATTCCCGCAGGTGGACAGAGGAGTGCATGTGGCCGCAGGGAGTGTTGGTGAAACACAGCAAGAACGTGTACAAAGCCGTGGGGCATTACAACGTGGCGGTGCCCTCGGACGTCTCGCACTTCCGCTTCCACGTAAGATCACGTCTCCTTCGGGGACGGAGGCGTAGCGTCGCGGCAGGATCACGGCACCTCGCTCGGTGCCTGATTGTGGTCTCTCCCACAGTTCTTTTTCAGCAAACCACTGCGAATCCTCAACATCCTGATTCTGCTGGAAGGAGCCGTCATCTTCTACCAGCTTTACTCGCTGATTTCTTCGGAGAAGTGGCACCAGACTATCTCGCTGGCTCTGATCCTCTTCAGCAATTACTACGCCTTCTTCAAGCTGCTGCGTGACCGTCTGGTGCTGGGCAAAGCCTACTCATACTCTGCCAGCAGAGACTCAGAGCAGAAGTTAAATTAAAACAATTGCACTGATGCTCGGCTTATTACAGAACAAACGAAACAAGAAACCCTCAGAGCTTTGTATTTTTGTTACCACTGCTTTTTTTTTCTTTGATAACTGATGTAATTAAAAGGAAAAAACATATTTTTTTACTCCCAACAGTTGTTGGTGTGTTTGTTGTCTGGCAGAACCCCCCTCCCTGAGAAGGCCTCCTCCTGTTTGAGTTCGGGAGCGGTGATTTATTGGCAGCGGAGCTGAGTTCAGAGAGGTGCAAACGCTGCTGTCGCAGCTCCAGCTGGCGCCGAGTGGGAAGATGAGAATTACCGGGACGTGGGACCCCACAGCTTCAGTCTGGGATCCTCTGCACGGGGGTGAGCCCTGATCCCGCCCGTCCCGGGGCCCCGGGGGGACGCGTGCGGCCCCCCCGCTGCTCGGGGGCCGGAGGGGTGGGCT